AAAAGAAAACCAAATTTTCTAGTTTTTCTTGAATCAAAGGAAAACCTTCACTGTACCCACCTAGGATATGGAGCTGATAAGGTAGAGACCCACTCTGATATCTTTTTGCCCGTCTATTTCTCTAAATAAATACACAGATATCTCCTAAGCCACTAATTCTCTCCCCAGCTGCTTCATTACCTCCCCCACAGATACTGGTTTCTAACTGTGCATCTCACATTCCTGGGCTCAGGCCACCAACTTTTATCTCCTTCAGCTCCCACACAGCCCTCTGGTCAGAACTGACCACTCCTTTGACCACACTACCTCCCCAGGTTGAATATACTTCCTGACTCCATCACTGTTTTATAAACTAACATTGAACAGAGCAAATAACAACACTATAAATTAATTCATTCATTTTTTTACTAATAGCTAAACTCTGCTTATCCTGTCCTTCAAGGCCCAAGTCACCCCACTTCTTCTAATCAACCCTTTTGGGCTGGGGATATAGTACAGTGGCAGAAGCGCCTGCCTGGCAAGCGCAAGGTCCTGAGTTTGATTCCTGGTACAAAAAAAAACACCCTTGCTACCTTCACAAACAATATATGAGAGTATACACGCATACACATGAATCTGTACACACAGACATAACTATCCAAAACACCATAATATTTGTCATCTAGGATATACGATTTTGTACAGTGCTTGAATAACCCTAAAACAGATGATGTATAAGTCAGAAATAAAGGTAAATAACACGCACATCACCCAGCTTAAGGCAGGTACCGAGACTGTGGATGACATCTTCTGCCAAGTCTGAATGGTCAGAGTCCCATACCAGGCCAATTGTGATAATCTGCGGAGCATTCATCAACACACGGCGAATCCGGATCCTCTCTCCACAGTTGCTCTAGAACATATATATATGATGACAGTCAACACCTCACCGAGGCCCTACCTCAATTCCACTGAGTCAAGGCTCTTCTTACTCTGAGCTCCACCCAAGTTAACTTACCGGGCAGTTCCGCAGATCCCCCATGGTACTGGCATTCTGCAGCAGCTCGCCAAACATGCTTGGGGAAGGTTTTTCTCTCCTTTCCAGCATACAAATAGCCTGATTGCTTCAAGATGGGGAAAGAAGGGGGTGATGGTGGGAATTGTCCTGAGTTATGGCTAAATCACGAAAATCATTCATGCAAATTCCTACCTCACATGTTTGATTTTCTTCTTCTGCCCACTATACCACAGCCCCTTGTCCTGACCAGCCTCAGTGTCCCACAAACACAGTGAGTGCCTCTACCTGTCCCAAAATCCAAAGCTCAAAGAATCCCCACTTCTCCTCCCACTTTGCTGGCCAGAACTGAGCCTAAGAAAAGGGGAGGGACAGGAGAGGAAAGAAGGAGAACAAAGGTTATTTTTAGATGATTGTTCTGAGTTCCTATAATATAGCATAGACTCAGTAACAGAGGTATAACTATTTGGTGGTCTTCAGTTAAAAGCCAGTCAACTGGAGGAGTGCCAAAGGGTACAGTAGAGAACCCTGTAAGACTCACCAAAGGGAAGTGGTGGAGATGTAATGTACCATCTGGATGAAAGGCAGTGGATCAGAAGTAGCGCCACAGCTAGTACACACACACTGAGCCAGGGAGAAAAAGTAAAACTAAGCAGCCATAATCATGCATAGTGTGGAACCCATTTAATACCCCACATCCCAGGATAAAGTTTTCTCAAAGAAAAGGCTTAAGAAGAGATGGAGATAAAGTTTACCTGTTCAAATAACGTCATAGCAAACTTCTGGTGGGAAATGCAGTGTTGGGCAGTACATATATCTTCTTTGGTTTCATCAGCAATGTGAAAGTGAATTCTCATGAGCAGATTTTCCTGACAAGGAAAGTACAAAAGCACTATACCAATAAAACTTAACAGACACATGAACAAACTGGTAAGCAGTTTACGCAGGGAAACAGCAACTGTCATATAAAGTAAGAATACCTCTGATTTTTGATGCTTCCAAATCTATAATTATTTCAAGAATATTATATGTAGAATATAACCTTTTGATATTACATCTTCACTGGGCATTATTCCCTTGAGATCCATGCAAACAGATGCATAAATCAATAATTTATTCCTTTTTATTGCTGCATAGTACTCCATGGTATAGAATACCAGTTGTGGGTTTTTGGGTTTTTTTTTTTTAAGCCTTTGTGAGACAGGGTCTTGCTATACAGTTCAGGCTAGCCTTGAGCCTCTTTTGTAGTCCAGACTGGCCTCAAACTCACAACAATCCTCCTGCCTCAGCCTCCTGTGTGCTAGGATTACAGGCGTGCGCCACCAGGCCTGGCTCAGTTTGTGTTAACCATGTATGCAGTGAAGCACATTTGGTTATCCAGTTTTTTTACTACTACATATAAAGCATCTATGAATATTCATGTATGGGTTTTTCTATGAACATAAGTTTTCCTTTCTTTGGGATATATGTCCAGGAAAGCAACTTCTGGATCATATGGTAATTTGCATGTTTAATTTTTAAAGAAACTACTAAGCTGCTTTCCAACAGTCCCACCACCCATATATTAAGCCATCCGAATGTTCAGCGGTACCTCTGATTTTGGCCCAATTTTTCCCCTGTGATGTGATGTATGTCACTCTCAGATATTTTTAATGTTTACACAAAGAGTGCTTTGAAGGTCAATGATAGAAAAGACAGAGGAGTTAGGATCTTGCACTAAATTCATGATGGCAACACAGCTGTCTATATAGCACATCACACTTGTGCTCTAGGCACTCAGTTAATGTTCCCTATGTAATATTTAGGAAATGGAGAAGTTCAAAAAAGCACAATTCAGCAGACCAGCAGTCTCAGTATTAGCATCATCTGGAAATGAGTCAGAAGTTCTGAGGTCCAGTCCAGCACTTTGTATTTTAATGAGACTTTGCTCTTCCGAAGGTGAGAGTCACTATTTCATAAGGTGGAAAGCACAAACCTACCTTAACCCTAAAGGAAAAAATAATAAATCCACTAGGCAATTTACACAGCAGTAGCAGGGAAACTCTAGATTTCTGAGAAACTAGAGAAACTCCCAATTCTAACTGTGCAGATCAGGGCACAATAAATTCCATCACAGTCAGTCCCTGATGGAGACCAACAGTCCCATGTGATATTAAAGAGGGCCGGAGGCCAGCACTTACAAAGCACTCTGCAGCATCATCCATAATTCCCAGCTGGAAACGCTGTTCATCCTGAAAAGTCTTTGCCAGAGCACTGCGGAGAGTGTCAGATGGAAGGACTTTTTCACTACTGCACTGAAACTGGTTAAAGATTCCCTATAGGGAAGAAGTTAGACAAGAAAAAAGGTATAATGCTGCTATTAAGGTTCTATACAACTCAGTCTTTCATGCTAGCATCTCTACGCTGAGACTATGGAAGCAACTGTGCTTCTCATGGGTCGATATCCTTGCAATTAGTAACTTAGAAAAATTAAGCATCAGAATAAAGGGCATGATGTGTGCTAACATGTTCTTTATCTGAGTGGGACGCCATCAAGGACACATTAGGAAAAACCACTGTCATGAATTAATATGAAGTAATTACCTTATTTCCTCAGACATGGACAGAAATAGTTAAAAAAAGATGAGTTACATGTAAATAGCTTCACACAATACATTTTCTGGGGGCTCATCCTATAACACTTGGCCCTCTCCTTTTAAACCTAATAAAAATTAATATAAAATATAAAAGGTATTGGTTGATTTCTTGATGAAAGCCGTTCTTTCTGGGGTGAAATGGAATCTCAGCATTGTTTCAATTTGCATTTCTTGAATGACCAATGATGTTGAACATTCTTTCATATATTTATTTGTCATTTGTATTCCTTTATCTTAGAAGCATGTATTCATCTCAAATGCTCATGTTTGGATTGGGTCTTTGAATTTGGGGGCCTGATTATTTTAATTTTTTATATGTTCTAGATAGAAGTTCTTTGTCTGAGGGACAGTTGGCTAAAATTTTTCCCAATTCGGGGATTTTCTTTTCACTCTGTTGGTGATTTCTATTAATGTGCAAAGACTTTTCAATAAAATGAGAGCTCAGTTGTTGATTCCTTAAAGTATTTCCCATGCAGTTTGGTTTTTGTTCATGAACTCTCTGTCTACCTCTATGTCTTCAAGATTTCTACCTACTTTTTCTTCCAGTAAATTTAGTGTTTCTTTTTTTTTTTTTTTTTTTTTTTTTTTTTTTTTTTGGTTTTTTGAGACAGGGTCTTGTTGTATAGTTTAGGCTGCCCCGAACTAACTAGAGTGCCTTGAACTTGCAGCAATCCTCCTGAATAGCCACCTGAGTGCTGGGATTACAGGTGTGCACCAACACTCCTGGCTTGTTTTAATATTTAGATCTTTGATCCATTTTGACTTTAGTTTAGTGCATGGTGATAGACATGGGTCTTGTTTTAATCTTCAGCATCTGGAAAGCCAGTTTTCCCAGCACTATTTATTAAAGAGGCTATCTTTCTTCCAGTGAACATGTTTGGCCCCTGTGTCAAAGATAAGGTGGCTGAGTGTGTTTGTAGTTGTGTCTACATCCTCTAATGTGTTCCATTGATCCTTGGGTCTGTTTTTTTGCCAGTAACATGCTGATTTAAGGCTGTGGGAAAAAGGGAACACTTCTCCACTGTTGGTGGGAGTATAGACTGGTACAACCACTGTGGAAATCAGTGTTGAGATTCCTTAAAAAACTAGGGTTGGGGGTCCCATTCAACTTAGCTATTCCTCTTCTGGGTATTTTTCCAGAAGAATTGAAAACATCATACCACAGCAATTTATGTACAGCCATGTTTATAGCAGCACAATTTGTCATAGCTAAATCTTGGAAACAACCCAAATGCCTATCAACTGAAGAATGGATAAAAAAGACAGGGTATTTTTATTCAATGGAATATTACTCAGCTATAAAGAAGGATAAACTCGAGGTCTTTATAGGTAAATGGATGCAACTAGAGACCATACTCATAAGTGAAATAAATCAGACCCCCATGTGTAAACATTGTATTGTCTCCCTAGTGTAAAAACTGAAAGACTAAATAAAATCCGAAAGGTACAATAGGGGCCGGGGACATAGCTCAGCAGTACAATCATCTGCCTGGCAAGTACCGAGTTTGATTCCTGGTACCAAAAAACAAAAATAAAAAAATTTTTAAAAAAGCAAAAGGTACAACAGATATTGTGAAAAAAAAATTGTAAAAAGTATAAAAAATAATGTAGCAAAAAACCCAGGTGTTTATTACTCGGAAATAATCACATTTACTCCCATCCTACAGATAAACTAAAGTCTTGTTTAAGACTGCTCTACTCTCCACAGCTACTCAGAATCATGGGTTGGTCACTTCCTTGGTTACTTTCTCTTTGGTGAGACAAAATACCTCACACCCAAAATTAAGGAAGGAAAGGTTTATTTAGCTCAGTTTGTGGAGGTTTCAGTCCATACCTGGCTGGTTCCAAGAAAGAGTGGCACATGGCCGAAGGCAACAATTCATGGTTCTGCTTCCCCACCCAGCCAAAGCAGTAAGAGCAAAAAAGGGAGGAACAGCAGAGAGCAAAGTCTCTTTCCCTCCCTTATACTGTATGCAGGCTATCCGCCTCAGGGCAGGTGTAGCACTCACATCCATAACCCCAGCACTGGACCATGGATCAATCATAAACTCTAAAAGCCCACCCCATGACTGCATGAGGCTTTAGGGGGACATCTAGACACAAACCATAACAGTCACATAATCTTCTGTTTTTAATACTTTTATAGATAGATATAATTACATATAGCGGACCAGGGATATAGCTCAGTGGCATAAGCGCCTGCCTGGCAAGCGCAAGGTCCTGAGTTCGATTCCGGGTTCAAAAAAAAAAAAAATTCCCATAGTCACAAGATTTAGCTATTACAAATTGTGCTGCTATAAACATGTGTACCCTTATTTTTAAGACAAGGTCTCACTAAGTTTCCAGGCTGGGCTTGAACTCTCAGTCCTCCTGCCTCTCCCTCCTAGCTCACTTTCCCTTTTACAAGTAAATAATAGTATTTACTTCCTAAATTATTTGAGGATTAAACCAATATATATCTTAAATATATATATATTAGTCTATAGAAAGAGGTTAGTAAGTATGTGATAGATATACATATTTTAAGACATAAATAAATATCTTAGACTCATGCTTGGAAATACTATAAGTGCCACCAAAATAGTAGATGGCATTATTATATCATTATTATATTTAGGAGTCATTTTAAATTACTAAAAAGTCTGTCTCGCTGTCCTATGCTGAAGAAGGGTCCTGAGTCAGATGTTTCTACCTTGAGCTACCTCTTACTGTCTGAGATCTGGGCAAGAAAGACTACCTTATTTTCTAGTCTGTTGCTCCCATTCAAGAGAGGTAGATTTCCCATGACCTAGATAATTAGGGTTTCAGCAGAGGAAAAGAAAGGTCTAAGGTCAGAGCTCTGCCTGCACTCACAGTGGATCTTCACTAACAGTGTTCAGTGGAATCAACGTCTCCATCCCTTATTCTTTTATCCCCTCTTAATTAATTTTAGGCAGCCTTTCCATGTACACTGTGTAACTGCATTTGAAATGGTTTCTGACTGAATGTTCTTTACTTCTCTATTTTAATGATTATTGTCAGTCTTGCCCTGCTATTGTTAGGAAGAAGCAAGTATTTGGGTTGAAGCAGCCTGAGCCTGCCCAGCATGCATCTGTGGAGCTGCAGCCCTGGAAGAAACTGCAGCACAAAGCCCCTCTGTTAACGCAGCACACTAACCCCTGTGTGTCCCTCTCACATGAGCACAGGGACTGGAACGGGCCTCCTCCTGTTCCTTTTTTCACCCTCCTCCCACCTTTCCCAGAGGGAGATCCTGTTCACACCAAAGAAAGCCAAGAACATTTAGTTCAGCAGTAAGAACAGGTGGCAGTACCAATAAGGAACAAAACCTGGTATTCTTCCAATTGCTGAGTTCTATGGCAGAGGGAGAGAAAGGACAGGAAGAACCAAAACCCAGGAATCATTTTTCCTTGTGGAGTCCCTGGTGGTTCCATTTCAATCAGGGGGAAACGAAACTCAGAAAACAAAACAAAACAAAAACAAAAACTTTGAGGTTTCTCTGTACTCCTCTCAGAGGGTAAAACAAAGAGGTTTTCCTTTTCACTCTTGTGAGATAACACATTACTTTGTGTCTGTTAACTATTTTCTTGGATGTAGTACAAAAGCAACAAGACTTTTAATGAGCAAAAGCAGGTGCTTCCCCACCCGTCTCTCTTGGATCAAGTAGCAAACAATTCTATCCAGATGAGCACATAATTATTTGGATTAGTAAAAACCATGTAAATAAGACAGAAGTGCCATAAAGACAGAAAGTCTTTGTGTTTGGGCATCTAAAAATGCAGCTGTTGCTGAAATTTTTTCCTCTAAAACATAGACCCTTGCCCTTAGGCAGAAAACACTATTTCTCTCTCAGGATTTCCTACCTTCACATCTAAAGAAGTCATGAGTAGAGATGGTAGAGGTCAAGAAGAAATGTGTCACTAATTTCAGTAATCTATAGGCCAAGGTCTTTGGAAAGTGCCCTAGTAAGCAACCCAACTTCTCCCTGACAGGGGTCCAGCAATACCTTCTGCAAAGGCATGACACTACTTCCTACCCTGCCCTTAGCTCACCTCTCGGATCTTATCTTCTTGATCTGGGCTTCCTAAATCATTTTAGCTTTTATGATCATTCTTTTCTCTATACTTTGTAGAAACCAAAGACCCTAAATGTTGACAGTCTAGTCTATTTGTAAACATGGCCCTGTTGAAGTAAGATAAGAAAGCCAGTACTTGAGGATCACTGACTGCTAGAAAAAGGAATTTTCACTGGCTTTGTGTGTTCAAAGGAATTTTGGAAGTTCTCTTTCAATACAGGAAAGAATATGCAAATATTTACCTTTGGGCACTCAAAACAATAACAAAGGATTTTTAACATTTTATTGTAGAAAATTTCACACATCCAAGAGTAGACAGAATAAGCCAGGAATGTGGTAGCACTGTAATCCCAGCACTCTGGGAGGCTGAGGCAGGAGGATCATTGCAAGTTTGAGACCAGCCTGGGCTACAAAGGGAGCTCAAAGCCAGCCTGAACTGCATCGCAAGGTCCTGTCTCAAAAAGACAAAAAAAAAAAAAAGAGTAGACAGAATAGCACATAAATGCCCATCTATCATTCAACCTTTACAAGTACCCGTCTGTGACAAATCTTATTTCATTCATAGCACCCACCCACTTATCCCACTCTCAGATCATTTTGAAGCATA